CTCCTCGCCCCGACGAGGGACCGTCGAGCCCTTGGCGCAACGGAGTGCCCCCCAGGCTCCAACAGCGCATATCTCAAGCCACACCCCGACGTGACCACACCCAGTGTGGGCGCCGAGCAGAGGGATCCCACAAGGGTCGCACGCGCCCAACCGCGCACACGCGGGAACGGCCCCCGGGCCCGCGAGACCCAGCTTCGTGATACGACCCTTCGCGCAGCGCGCACTCTCGAAACCAGCGTGGATTCGTGTGCGTGGCGGGCTCCGGAAACCCCGAACTCAAACTAACTTTTATCTCTTGGGGGCGCATCTTTCACTTCCGCCGCCTTCCGCCGGCCTTCCGCCGGCTTCCGTTGGCGGAGGCGGCCTCTTTCCACTTCCGCCGACCTTCCGCCGCCCTTCCGCCGCCCTCCGCCGAGGAAGAGATGGCAACTTCTTCGACCCTCGAAGGCAAGGCCACTTTGGGAACGCCTCACGTGTGCGAGCCTGTATACAAAGACCGACCACAACGATGTTTAAAACGAAATAGCGCTTACAAATAGCAGCGAAAGCCGAAGCCGGTGCCAAACGAAAACGAACGCCGAAGCGGGACTTTTAAAACAGCAACGAACAACGAAACGAAACAGCAACGAGAAACCAAACGAAACACAAACAAGGGCCAACATCAAGCTAAGCAGCGTTGTGGTCGGTCCTTGCCGTATACTGTCGCGGCCTCCGGCTGTCACAAAAACACACACAAACAAACACCGGTTGTCACAACTAGTCTTTGTGTTTTGTTTTGTTTGTGTGCTTTTTGTTGTTGGGTGTTTTTTTGCGGCAACGGGTAGCTACAACTACCACCGCAGCTATCGGGCTCGGGACCTCGAAAAACACGTCCGGGGGGGCCGCCGCGTTCCCGCTGCCCTGCCGGCCGCCGGCCACCTCCCCCCGGGTCCTAGGAGCCACCCTGGCCTCCAGGGCACGCCATACAGGGACGAGCTGACGTGCCGCTGCAGCTCCCTCGGGTCGGAGAGGAAGCCGTCCGCGGAGCTCCCCGACAGGGCGTGGTCGTCCTCGCGGCCGGGAGGAGGAGGCGAGCGCCAGGACCAGCGTGGCGTGGACCAGCGCAGGGGCCGCGGGTCCGCCAGGGGTTGGCGGGGGTACCCGCTCCGCCACACAAGGCCCTTGCCGTCGTCATCGTCAGCATCGCCACCACCATCACAGGTTGCCGCCGCTGTCGGCGCCATCATGATATCGCGCCCGCCCACATCGCCAACCCGCATTGAAGTCCCGCGAGGATTGCATCCTCGCACATCTAGAAACTGTGTTTGGTAGTTCGGGCGAGGCAGTTTGAAGGCAGACGTCTGATCCTTTTTGTTGTGGAGCCGCGTGCTTCGGCAAACAGACTACTTCAAGGTCCGGAGCTGCTTGGGCAGCGCTGTCCCCCCCGTCGCAACGCCTGGACACCCTCGACTACATCAGTTTGGTGCCCTGCTGCTCCAGCAGATCTCTCGGCTGGTGGCCTGACATAAGATGCGCAGCTGTCCAAGACCCCATGTGCTCACAAGACCCGCACTGAAGTGCCCGCGCGCTGGCGCGGCGCTCGAGACGCGCTTCGAAGTTTCATCGGTGAGCGCGGTCGTTGCCGCATCGGCTGTGCCAAGCCAGCGCGTCGATCTGCACGCGAGCGCGCGCGCCCCAGCGCGGCCGCAGAGACGCGCTGGCAAGTGCCAATCGACAGCCGCCGCAATCGCGGCCCCATGGGATTCGCCAAACAAGTTGCGGGTGGGAGGGTGGGATGTTTGCGCGAGCAGTGAAGTTGACGACTCCAAGTTCTTCACACTTACAGCGGACACCCAGAGCACAAAAACAACGCACTACTTGAGGTCCAGGCTGGCATGCGCATGTACATACATCTTCGGATGTATCCGCCACCGTGCCCCATGACACGTTGAGGCGTGGCAGAATGCCGAGTGCTGCCTGGCAGGGTGTCTGTAATGTTTCTAGGTCCCCCCCCTCTCGAAGAACCCACCTGCGTGCACCGCCCTCTCTTCCCGAGGCTTCCTGGGATCGCACCTCCTTGGCGTTCTCCGTCGTCCACGCTGCCCAGCGTAGCTCCAAAACGGCCGAAGTCCCCAAGATGGTCAAGATAGTTTCAAGACCGCCCAAGAGACTTCCAAAACGGACCACGAAGGCCCCAAAGGAGCCTCCAGCAAGAACGGAAGAGGCCAGATTCATCATCCTTCGCTGGGTTTTCAAAATATGTTCGCATTCTTGCCTCTTCGAGCTTCTGTCGCGGCTCAAGACGGCCCATGCGGCCTCCAAGATGGGCCCACGACGGCCCAGTAAAGCCTCGAGATAGACCAAGAGACCTTTAAGACGGCTTTTACAACCAGAATGCTGCGCCGGCGCGGTGGCGGAATTGCCGGAAGCAGATAATCTTGGCATCGGACTGGGGACCCAGCGCCGCTCGAATCCTCGCTGTGGGCCAGCGACAAGTCCTTCACGATGCTCTGCAGCCGGTGCAGGAAGCGCTTTCGGTCCATGGAGGGGTCCTCCGACTGTCCAACGCCGGCCAGGAACTGGTAGATCTCAGCCACTACCTGGCAGGGGCGGTCAACATTGACTCGGCAAATCGGATCGGGTCGGAACGAGCATCGGATGGGGCCGCATCGGCACGAAATCGGAATCGACTCGGATCACCCGCGCCAGGATGCACAGCAGCGCCGTGCAAGCATCGGGCCGCACCGGTCGGTGGAATATCGCAACTGGCTCGGATCGAGCCAGCCGGAATCAAGATCGAGTCGGGCCGAGGTGGACGCCGGCCTGGTGTGAGGCCAGGTTGACGTGGCCCCACTTCTGCGCGAGCTGGAAGTGGCTCAGCAGAGTCATCGCAACCCCAGCGGCCATTGGGCACGCCAGCATGCCGCAGCGGATGGCGAACGCGACGGAGGAGGAGAAGCAGGCCTCCCCCTGGCACGCTGCACCTCCAGCGTGCTGCAGGTAGCCCAGGAGCATGTCCTCTTTGAGCAGCATCCTCTGGAGCTCCTGGTGGATCACGAGCACGCTGAAGAGGGCGGACGCGCTCAGCATGAGGGCGGCGAAGAGCTCTGCGCTCCCGGCGAGGAGGCGGAGGCGGCGCCCGCTGCACAGCAGCTTGGCGTGCAGCTGCCAGCCTCGCAGCACCAGGCTCCTCATGGAGGAGGAAGAACGACATAGTCGTCAACTTTTGGCGGTCCGCGCAGATTTCTTGGATCTGTGCTGGCCACCCCTCCCTCGCGCGCGGAGCGCGCCGCAAGGGCGGCGCCGGAGGCGCCGCCAGGTGGGGCCAAGCGCGGATCCAAGAAATCCGCGCGGAGCGCCAGAGAATCATGTTTATGCCCCTTTGTCGTCTTCGATCCTCGTCGCCTGCCCGGAGTTGCCAGACCAGCCTGGGGAGACCGACAGGCACCCGTACTGCTACTCCTCGGACCTCTCCCTGGGTGCGTTCTGACCAGAGCTTCGGTGTGACTCTCTCCGTGGCGGCGGGGGGACTCCCGGGAGGCCGAGCAAAAGGAGGAGATGACGAGGCAAGGGTGGCGGTATCGGTGCACGCTTTCCTCCTCTGCCCGCCAGACAGGTCCAAGAAGACGGTAGACAGGGCGGTGCCGACCTGATGATGATGAGGATGATGATAATGATGAAGATGAAGATGAAGATGAAGATGAAGATGATGATGAAGATGAAGATGAAGATGAAGATGAAGATGAAGATGAAGATGAAGATGAAGATGAAGATGAAGATGAAGATGAAGATGAAGATGATGATGATGATGCTGATGCTGATGATGATGATGATGATGATGATGATGATGATGACGATGATGATGATGATGATGATGACTAAGGTGATGGTGATCATGGTGGTGATGATGATGATGACGATGATGGTGCAGAAGACGGTGATGATGGTGATGCTGGCGATGACGGTGGCAACACACGTAATGATAATAAAGCAATCGTAGACTTAGAACGATACTACAATAATGAGAAATTATATTCTTATAACAAATAAAATGCGTAATGATACTGATAGTTGTGATGATGATGGTGATGATGATGCTGATGATGATGTGAAGCTGATGGTGACGATGGTGTTGTTGATGATGATGATGGTGAACTGATGCTGATGATGATGTTGCTGCTGCTGCTGCTGATGATGATGATGATGGTGGGATGATGGTGACGATGACGACCACCCACGATCTGATGATGAGAGAGAGCGTGATCCACCGCCACTTTACTGTGGAAAATTGCCGCCCTTTTCCTCCGGAACCCGGGGGTCTCCCCCCCCCCCCCCCCTCCCCCCCCCCCCCCCTTCTGGACCCCCCCTCCCCCTCCACCCACCCCCTTCCCACAAAACCCCCCCCTCCCGTAACCCCCCCCCCCCCCCCCCCCGTCGAACTCGAAAACCAGGGGGGTCACTACCGGTTCCCCCCCCCCCCCCACTGAGCTGTCCCACTGTTCCCACCACTGTCCCTACTGTCCCCACCACTGTCCCCACTGTACCTCTGTCCCATTGTCCCACCGCCGTCCTCGCCACCGCCCTCACCACTGTCCCCACCACCACTGTACCCTCCACTGTCCTACTGTTTCCACCACATTCCCACTGTCCCCACACCACTGTCCCCACCACCACCGTCCCCACCACTGTCCCACTGTCCCAACTGTTCCCACCATTATCCTCACCAGTGTTCCCACCTCTACCGTCCCCACCACTGTCCCACTGTCCGCACCACTGTCCCCCTGTCCCCTCACCACTGTCCCCACCACCACCGTCCCCACCACTGTCCGCACCCTCCCTCGGTTTTCGAGGGGGGGGGGGGTTCGAACCGGTAGTGACCCCCCCCCGGTTTTCGAGTTCGAGTTCGAGGGGGGGGGGGGGGGTTCGAACCGGTAGTGATCCCCCCCCTTTTCATGATGAACTGGGGGGGGGGAGGGGTTCGAACTGGTAGTGACCCCCCCCGGTTTTCCGGAGGGGGGGGGGGAGGGGTTCGAACCGGTAGTGACCCCCCCCGGTTTTCCGCCAACGGCGACGACGACGATGATGATGCTGATGCTAACAACGATGATGATCATGGTGCTTTCTTAACTGGCGCAAAACGCGTCCCGATAGGAACTAGGCTTTCCAGCACTGTTCACCCCATCTAGAAAGCCATATGCAGCTGTTGCCAGGCATACGCAACAGAGCGGTGACAACGTGATTGGACCCTCAGCCCAGACTGCGCCCAATCACGTCAATGATCATCGTGACACTCACGATGATGATGAGGATGATGATGCTGATGCTGATGATGATGCTGATAATGATGACGATGATGATGATAACGATGATGATGATGATGATGATGATGATGATGATGATGATGATGATGATGATGATGATGATGACGATGCTGATCACGATGCTGACGATCATGCCGATGATCATGCTGATGATCATGATGATGCTGAGGGCACACTGATGATCATGATAATGACGACGAGGACGACGACGATGGTGATGATGACTATTATGACGCTGATGCATTTGCTGCTGCTGCTGCTGCTGATGATGATGATGATGATGATGATTATGCTGATGCTGATGCTGATGCTGATGATGCTGGCTAGCATGACAATGATGATGAAGATGAAGATCAAGATGATGATGATGATGAAGATGAAGATGAAGATGATGATGATGATGATGATGATGATGATGATGATGATGATGATGATGATGATGATGATGATGACGATGATGATGCTGCTGCTGATGATGATTATGATGATGATGACGGTCGACAGGGCGGTCCTCACCTCCTGAGCGACGCCCTCCAACTCCCCCAACGGGTCCACGACGCACACCGGCTCTCGGAAGTGGCACGGCGTCTGCCGCGCCTGGTCGATCAGGGCGACCACATCGCTCAGTGTGAGGCGCGCCCCAGTCTCCATCGCCAGCGGCCTGTAGGCCGCCTCCACGTGCTTCAACACCTCTCCGGCGGGCGCCCTCCCGAGTCTCGGGGGTCCCAAAACCGTGTGACCCCGAATCCCCACTGGCTTTAGGTCGGGCATGTCCCCCTACAGGTGGTCTTCGGGCGACGAACTGAAAGCAACAAACTGCAGAAAAACCGTCCCCAGACTATGCTTTTGACTGTGTTCGAGTACTCCTCCCGTGGAGGGACGGGCCCGACGGAACACCGGGCTCACCGCGCGGTGTGGGCACCACACCGCTCGGGGGCTCCCCAACGCCCGCGTCCGCAGGGTGCCTCGGCCGCCCAGCGGATCCAGGAGTCGGGCCCCTCCTCGGCGGGCGGGCGTGCCAAGGCTCCCGCCGTCCTGCGGGGGCTCTGCCCTCGGGTAAGATGCCTCCCAGATTTGTGGACGACGTGTCGACGGAGAGGGAGCATGTTGCCAAACAGTTCCCAGATGTCAAAACAATGTTCAATGCATGTCTCCAACATATAGAAACACGGTTACAACAGTTCAAGAGTAGGTTCAAACATTTCGAACACATTTTGAACTTTAACCATAGGATTGCTAGGATGTCCATTGTCATAGCATCCACAATCCTAGATGCATCGGCGATCGATGCGATGCATCGGCGACGTCGGCGTGGGGAAGATCGGCTCCTCACCGAGTTGCATCCCCGCTGCAGCGGCGATGCGGCGCGCGATCCTCCGACCCCATCGGTGTCGGACCCCATCAATGGCAGGAGGGGGCAAACCAACGGGTACCGATACTGCGACTCCCTGGACCTCTCCCTGGGCGCGCTCTGGCCTGACTTCGCGGCGAATCCAGCCGTGGCGACGAGGGCCTCCCAGGAGGTCCGAAACGGGCGAAGACGAGGTAGGGGTAGCGGCATGTGGATGCCTCTTCCGCCTCCGTGCAGGTGCACCTCAAGATGGCCGAGTGGGGCTCCCCTCGAGGGCCCTCCAGCGAGGCCCAAGTCGTCGAGCAGCAGCCTGCTGCTGCCGTGCGCGGCCCCCTCGCCCCGCCTGGCTGCGATTGGGCTTCCCAGGGCCTCAGGAGAGCCCCCGAGGGCCGGAGGACCCTGCCAGAGGGCCACGGGAGGCCACCAAGGAGCGGAATAGGGACGGCATGAGGTAGACTCCTCCGCCGTCAGAGGGCGCCTGCCCCCCGGGCGGCTGGAAGGCTTATCCACCTACGTGGCACCGTAAGGGTATAAACTTTGCAGCCGCCCGGGTGGAGGCGTCCCCGACGGTGGAAAAGTTTCTGTCATGTTCGCCCCCTGAACCAAGAGAGCCCCAAGAGGCTCCGAGAGCGGCCCAAGAACGCGGGCCAGCGGGTGCCAAAGCACGATTTGACCCCAAGGTTGGCCCCAAATGCTCCCATATGGCACCAATATGGCCCCAGATGGACCGCACTGGCCCAAGACAGACTAGCTGACTGCGAACAACCTCTCCCGGAGGCCCTTAAGAAGTAAAATCCATTGAAAAGCCTGAAACTGTACATGATTACGGCGATCTCGCCGTTCTGGGCTCCGTTGGCCGTCTCAAACCACGAGATGGTCTCAAGATCCGACGAGCGGTTGCCGAAAGGCCCCAGGAGTACTCCGAGGAGGTCCAAACGAGGGGACACATGCGCGGCAGGCCCCAGGATGGCCCCAAGCCATCCCCAAGAGGCAGAAGATGGCTCAAAGGAGGCGCAAACTGTCCACGACAACTCCCAAGCAACCCCAAGAAGCCCTTAGCAGCCCGCAGGAACGCCCCAGAAGCCCCCATGTATTCCTCCAAGAGTCCCCCATGATGCTGATGACAGCACACAACAGGGTTTAACCCAAAAGGTCCTGATCGTATTTTTGTCGGTCTTCGAAGGCGAACGTTGAATGGGAGCATGTTCCGTTGAGTGTTGCACTTGATCTACCGATCGACCGCTTCTCCCCCACGCGGGGATCGCACGACAGTTTGGGAAAGCTCCCACAACCAAGCAGCTTCCCAACGCCCACGAGCGCAACAGCAAACTGCAAAACTGATGCAATAGGGTGCCAGCGGAATGTACGAATCGACTCTGCCGCCCCACCGGGTACGGCGTGTGAGATCCCCGCCGCATGGTCTGCAAGAACTATTTCCCCTCAATCCCCTTGCCCACGCACTCCTCGTACCAAGTCCTTTCCTCAGAGCCCTGGCAACCGCTCCTGGGATCCTCTTCGCGAACTGCTCATTCCGCCGACCCGGGGGCCCGGGCTGCGCACCAGGCGTCCGCTGGCGGCCATTCTGCCTTCAACTCAAGCAGGCCTTCGCACGGTAGATTTCCAGACCCCTCTGGGCGCCGTTTGGGACCTCTCCGGAAGCCCTCCCGGGCAGTCTTCGGACCCTCTTGGACCCCTCTCGGGTTCATTTGGCCCCTTCTTGGGGCCCTCCAGGGCCGTCTCGGACCCCTCCAGAGCCCTCGTCGATGCATGTTCAGCCGAAAAGCTGAGAAGCCCAAAACCTGCAAATGCTCTGGGATTTTTTTGGTTTTCGCCGTTTCGGCCTCCTCTTTGCGCCTCTTGGAGCTCTCTTGCAGCATCTTGCGCCACTCTTGGGGCCTCTGGCCACGTTGGAATATCTCCAAGGCCTCTCGGGCCGTCCTGAAGGCCTCCCGGACCCACCTTGGGTCGCCTGGCCGCCGTTCTGGAGCCTTCTTGGGCCGTCTTCGCCGCGCCCAGCGGGCCCCTGGAGAACCTTCTGAGGCCCCAAAATCTCGTCGGAGTGCTCCTTTCTGCCTCTCCGTATCCCTCTTCGGCTTCGCCCGCTGTTTTAGACACCTTTGGGTGCCCTGTTGGGCCGTTTTCGGAGCCTCTTGGGGCCCTCTGGGTGGTATTTCTCGGGACCTTTTCCATAACTTTTTGGACCCTCTCGGGCCGTCTTGGACCCCTCCCACAAAGCCCGCGTTCCAACAAAAATGGTGGGGCGGCGATGTCTGCCCCCTCAGTCGCCTTCAATGAATCATTTGGAGAGGAGAGACAAAAAGAGAGAGAGAGAGAGAGAGAGAGAGAGAGAGAGAAAAAACAAAAAAGAGAGAGAGAGAGAGAGAGAGAAAGAGAGAGGGAGAGATATGGAGAAGGAGAGAGACAGAGAGAGAAAGAGGGAGAGAGAGAGAGAGAGGGATAGCGACATAGAGAGAGGTAGAAAGAGAGAGAGAGAGAGGGAGAGAGAGATGGAAACAGAAGGAGGAGGATGAGGAGGAGGAGGAGGGAGGAGGGAGGAGGAGGAGGAGGAGGAGGAGGAGGAGGAGGAGGAGGAGGAGGAGGAGGAGGAGGAGGAGGAGGAGGAGGAGGAGGAGGAGGAGGGAGGAGGAGATGAGAGGAAAACAGAGCGCCACGCGAGTTCTGCTGCGACCGAGCGGCGGCCGAACAGGCTCGGGCTCGGAGGGGAGGCCCAGGGCTCTGCGGGTGGGGCGCCCCCGCGGGCCGTCGCGCGAGGATGTCGCCGGTGCGGCCTCCGCCCGGATCTCGAGGCAGCCCTCCCCGCTCGGCGGCGGTGCGAGGGGCGCGAGAGGGAGAGGAAGAGGGGCCTCTCAGAAGGCGGCGGGGCTTCTCGGGAGCCCTCGCGCCTTCTGAGAAGTGTGCTGTGTCTCCGGGCAAGGCTTGGGCAACTTCTCGGAGGGCCAGGGGACTTCCGAGCCTTCTGAGAAGGCCCGCCCCCTCAGCAGTTCCCCCCGGGCGCACCGCGGACCCCTGCCGTCGGTCGGACGTCCATTCCCCGTGCACTTTTTCGGTGTCGTGCTTTCGCTCGATGAGCCAAGGAGATCCTCGATGGCTCTCGCCCCCCAGCAGAAAAAAACACGCCCGAGCGATGCCGAGTGCCCTCTCGAAGCAGCCCTCCCCCCGAACGGAAGAGCTGCCTTGGAGGTCCTGGCGATTTTTTGGTGCGAGCGGGCCCGTGGTACACCCCCCTTCTTGCGGCCTCCCCCTCGGGAGGGCAAAGTGCGATGCCTGCTGCAAGTGTGAGCAAGAGCCTTGAAGTGAGCGGGGCTGGGCGGGAGAGAGCGAGTCTCAGTATGAGAGGGCCCACGTGTGAGTGAGACTGAGTGCGAGTGAGTCCGAGTACGTGTGAGCTTCAGCGTGGGCAAGTCTGAGTCGGAGTGAGTCTGAACAAGAGTGAGTCTGTGTGTGAGCGAGGCTGTGTCTGACACCACCCCAGGCCCCCTCCATCACAGCGCCGTGGTGGATACGCACGGCAGCGCGAGTGATCGATACAGCATATTGTCATCTGCATCGATGGCACAAGCCCCGGAGAGCACAGCGCAACAGATGCGCACTTCTCTCGAACTCGGGCGCATCGGCTTCAAATCCCCCCCGACTGGACTCTGCCCGCCAGAGCCCTGGCGCAACATGTCGACCCGCTCCGCGCAACGAACACCCGGCGGCCCGCTCGAGGCCCAGAGCCGATCCCCGCAGCTGCGCCACCGGCAAAGAACGACGCGCCGGGCAAGGCAGGTCGAGCACCAGGTGTGGGCCGCTCAACAACGCCCAGGAGGGTCTTGCTCTGCACCGCACCACCCAGGCCTGGAGCGGGAAGCGCTCTTCGATCCACAGGCCACATGGCCCGATGCTGTTCCTGGGGGCAGGTGTCCGTTCCGGAAGTCTTGCTGTTGGGGGGTGGGGCCCAAACCAATCCTTGGCGGCGCGCAGAAGGGGGTAGGGGGGGGGGGGGAAGGCTCCTTAGAAGCACCCCTGCTTCTCAGGAAGCGCGGGCCTCACATCTACGACTGACAAGGCGCCGCGTCTTCAGAGAAGCAGGGGTGCTTCTAAGAAGCCTCCCCCTCTCCCCCTGCCCCCCTCTGCGCGTCGCCGAACGTCCCTGGAAGCAGAAAACGGGGAAACACGCCGGCCTGTACCCGCCCGTCCCGCCCCTCCCCAGGCATCCGGAAGCCTCGGCCTTCCACCCTAAACCGTTCAGAGCCCACAGGGCCCAGCGAGGGCCCCTCGGCAGCCGAAAACAAACAAAAGAAGCTCCGGCTTCGAAACGTACCTCTGTGTCCCAAGTGGTATTCGGGCGAATGACTGGGTTTTCGGCGGCCGATCGGGGCGATTCGGGCACCCCCGGGAACGCTCTCGGCGAGGCGCAGCTGCTGGCAGGCACCCCGAAGCTAGAATACCTCCGGGCGCCCATGATAGCGACCGAGGACCTCGACCTTCCTCGCCCTCGTCACAGGATGGCGTTGGGGGAACCTCCATGGGAGCGGCCGTAGACCTCCGAGGCCACATTATAAACGTGGTGTCGACCGCATTCCGTCCAGAGTTCGACCCCTCTCCACACTGTCGTCCGGGTTTCGTCCAGACGTCGACCGGACACGACGGACTCTGGACGAAATCCCCCAGGCCGCGGGGGGATTCTGGGACCCCCGGAGGCTCCCGCAAAGGACCACACAGCTGAGTTCGGGCATGTCCTCCTACAGGCGCATTTGGGAGGAAGAATGAGGATATTACAAAGATGCTCAACAAGCAGCCAAACAATATTAGCAAAATGGTCCCGAGCCAGTTTTTTGTGACTATTTTGAATAGTCCTCCTGCAGAGGGACGTGCCCGACTCAACACACAAACCCGCTTGGCGGGGCGCCTTGGAGGGCGACAGGCTCTGCAGCAGCTCCAGCTGCGATGGTGTCCTGCCGGCGGGCGGGGTCCCGCCCTGGCGGGGCCCTGCGCGCGCCCTGGGCGCGCGCGAAGGCCCGCGCCCTGGAGGCCGCGCGACGCGCGCGCTGCCACTCGGGCGTTGGCAAGACTGGGTTCCGTGGGGCCAAGTTCAGCGATGCGTGCGGGGGGACGCCCCCCCCCGCCCCGTTCCACTAACCGGAACTGCCGTCACCCGAAAAAACACCAGCTACGGCAGACCTGGCTTAGTGATCCTGGCCAAGTCCGGGGCTCCGGGGGCCTTACTACTTAACTGGGTCCCCTCACCTGGGGTCCTGGCTATACCCGAACTGCGCGCGCGGGGGGCGCACCCCCAAAAGTCCGACCCCGTGGAGCTTGTTTTTGTCGTGGAGGCGAGGGTCCACACCGCGATCGAAAGCAGCCGAGGGACGCCACGGGGCCAAATTGATTGGGCACACCGGGCGAGCGAAAAGCACGCTCAGGGCAAGAGGATCTTGAACGCGTGTGTGCCGGAACGCGGCGTGCGCAGCGGAGGCGTGGCCGTGGAGGAGTAGATCTGGCAAGACCCCTTGAAACAGACAAGACGGAGCTCTGGGCCCCAGGACCGTCAAAACCTGATGATATTGTCACGAACCCCGACCTTCAATTGGAGGACAAGTGGGCGTGAATTGCGAGACAAAGACAAACGAAGAAGAGGATGCCTATAGGACGCATTCTGCTGGTTCCCGTGTTGTCCGTTTGACGCTGTGCCGCTTTGTCGAGGCGCCTCCAGCCGTCGTGGGGCCCTCTTAGGGCTGTCCTGAGGCCCTGTTGGGCGCTTCTGGGGGCTTGCTGGAGACCTCCTAAGGTGAGCTCAGGAAATTGCCATACGAGCTAGGACGTCACGGGGCTGTCCCTTTGTCGCTGTGAGGCTTTGTCGAGGCACTTCCAGCAGTCCTGGACTCGTGGGGCAGTCCTGGGACCTTCTTGGGCGCTTCTGGGGACTTCCTGGAGGCGTGGTGAGGTCTTGAGGCTTGTTGGGGTCGTCTTGAGAGCCTCTTGGGGCCTCCTCAGGTCCTTCAGCCGTCCTGGCGCCCTCCTGAGGGAGTCCTGGGGCTGTCCGTTTGTCGCTCTGACGCTTTGTCGAGGCGCTTCCAGCAGTCATGGGGTCTTGGGGCAGTCCTGGGGCCCTCGTGGGAGCTTCTGGGGGCTTCCTGGAAGCGTCTTGAGGTCTTGAGGCATCTTGGGGTCTTCTTGGGGGGCCTTTGGGGTCTCATCACGTTCCCGTGTTGTCCGTTTGACGCTGTGAGGCTTTGTCGAGGAACCGCCAGCCGTCCTGGGGCTATCTTGGGGCAGTGCTGCGCCCATCTTGGGCGCTTCTGGGGGCTTGCTGGAGGCCTCTGGAAGGTTCTTGGGGGCCTCTTGGGGCCTCTTCAAGGGTTATTGGGGCCTCTTGGGAAATTCTTGGAAACTTCTGGGAGCCTCTAGAAGGGGTTCTGGGGGCGGAGAACCCGGAACCTCGGATCTCGTCGGAGGTTGTGCCGGTAACGTTTCTGAAGGAAAGGTGGCTCAGCACGCGACTAGGCTGGTGACGAGGTGAGCTCAGCACATGTCTATGCGAGCCACATAGAAGGGAGGGGGCGAGCTCAGCACGCGACCATGCGAGTCACGAGGTGAGCTCAGCACGTTTCCATGCGAGCCACAGGGAAGGGAGGGGGCGCGGTTGCAGATGACGGGCGAGAAAATTGAGTTTGGAGGATCTGGGGGCTCCTGGGCGCCGTCGGGTTTGGTTGGAGGTTGTGTCGGGGACGTGCCTGACTGTATGAGGACTGGAATAAACAACTTTGGCTGGGCGGGGGCCGCATACGGCCGTATTGAAGCCTCCTGGAGGCTTCTTGTAGGGCTTTCTGGCAATACGAAAAGTCGCTTGTGGTTTCTCTGCGACAGCTGTCCAGACAGAAAGGCGGCCAGAAAAACCACGGTGCGTTCTGGAGGTGAACTCAGAACGCGACCATGCGAGCCACGGGGTGAGCTCAGCACGTTTCCATGCGAGCCCAGAAGGGGAAGGCCAGGGTGCGCATTAAATTGGTTCCCGTGTGGTCCGACTGACGCTGTGCTGCTTAACGCGCATTACATTGGTTCCCGTGTTGTCCGTTTGACGCCGTGAGGCTTTGTCGAAGCGCCTCCAGCCGTCGTGGGGCCCTCTAGGGGCTGTCCTGAGGCCCTGTTGGGCGCTCCTGGAGGCTTGCTTCAGACCTGGTAAGGTGAGCTCAGGAAATTTCCGTACGAGCCAGGAAGTCCCGGGGCTGTCCGTTTGTCGTTGTGACGCTTGGGGGGCTCTTGGGGCCTCCTCAAGTCCTTCAGCCGTCCTGGGGCCCTCCTGAGGGAGTCCCGGGGCTGTCCGTTTGTCGCTCTGACGCTTTGTCGAAGCGCTTCCAGCAGTCCTCGGATCTTGGGGCAGTCATGGGGCTCTCTTGGGGTCTTGTCGGGGCTTTCTGGAGGCTGGGCCCCAGGACCGTCAAAAAAACGACTCACGGCGCACAGCCATCATTGGGGAAAGGCTCTCGTGCCGTCTTGTGAATCCGAGTGAAACAAGATCCGGATTGGGTCCAGTCCTGAAATACGTGTGGCGGCGCGGGCTGCTGTCGTGCTGGGTCCCTTGCGACCGGTCTTGCCGATCGCTCCGCGCGTCTTGACTGCGGTCGGCAACTTTTGCTTAGCGTGTCGCGGCGGCCGCCCCGACGACTCGCTATGTCTCGCGAGCGGATAGCGCGCCGCTCCGCTGCGCGGGGCGGAGGCTGGGATCAGCTCGGGACTCTGACGTGCGGCGGCCGAGATGTGGATAGCGTGTCGCGCCGAAGCGTGGTGGGCCAGAGCCGGCGGAGCAACGCGCTGAGCGAAACTCCCCAACCAGGCGCTGAGAGTGTAGCGGCGCGGGGGGTCTGGTGCGCCACCTGGGGAGAGGCCCGAGGCCTGCATAGCAACTGGCAGCGAAAGATGCGTTCTTTTTCCTCCTCGCCCTCCGCCTCCGCCTCCGCCTCCTCCTCCTCCTCCTCCTCCTCCTCCTCCTCCTTCTCCTCCTCCTCCTCCCCCTTTTCCTCCCCCTCCTTCTCCTCCTTTTCCTCTTCCTCTTCCCTCTTCCCTCTTCCCCCCTCTTACCCGTCCTCCCCACTCCTCCCCGCCCTTCCCCTCCTCCTCCCCCTCCCTCCCTCTCCTCTCCACCTCCCGCTCCTCTCCCCCTCCCTCCCAATCTCGTCGCCTTCCCCTCGTCTTCGCCGCCGTGTCCTTGACAGCCGCCCGTCGCGGCCGTCCACCAGCAGGCCCTCGCAGGCCGCCCGGTCGCAGCGGTGGGTGCTCTTGATCACCTCGAGCAGCAAGCTGAGCCTCGGCCAGGCTGGCTCCGCGGGCCGCGCGGGGGCCAGACCTCCGGCGTCTCGAAAGCTCGAGACCTCCAGCTATCTTCATCTTGGGCATCCCGAAGCCGGCCTCGGGCCCTGGGAACGCGTCAAGAAGCGGCTCGGGACGAAACACTGGACCCAGATAAGTGGTAGAGGACCCGGGCCCCCCGCCCAGAGAAAAATTGGGCCGCCGAGGGGGGCGGCCTTTGAACAATCCAGTGGCAAGTCACGGGGGCCTCCCGTGATGCCATCCTGTTGGCTCGTGCAAGGCGACGCTGACCGACGCTGACCGACGCTAATCGATCTGTGTGCTTCCTCGGTTATCACATGCTAGGGCTGCTAGGGCGCCGTAACAGCGGAATTGCGAGGACATACGAGGCCCCTCGTGATTTGCTGCCGAAGACGAAGAGGCCGGGGAGGTACACCTCGGAGAAAACAAGGGGTTTCTTAGAAAGGCCTGGGGGCTCTCAAGAAGGCATCTCGGCGGCCAGGATGATCATTACGATGGCGATGACGATGACGATGGGCTCGGCATTCAAATGGCATCGTCATCGTCATCGTCATCGCTACACTTGCGGTCGGGAACGTTTGCTTGGCGTGTCGCGACGGCGGCCCAGGCGACACGCCATGCCTGCGCGGCGCGAAATGGCACGCGTCGCTCCGCTCCGCAACGGCGGGAGCGCGGACGCTGGCGGGACGGTGGGGCAGGGACAGCGTTCGGGTGTTGCCAAAGTCTACCCCTGGCCTGAGGTGCCCCCCGGATTCTCGGGGCGGCCCAGGCGGCCTCCAGAGCCCCTCCCTCGAGGCCTCCAGAGAACCCCAGGAGGATCCTGGATGTAGCGAGAAGCTGGGAGCACCTTTTGGGCCAGGGGGCACTTCTGGCAGCAGCCACAGCGTGTCGCGCCGAGGCGAAGTG